GCTGACATTTTTATTATCAGCGGGCAGCGCGCGCGCTCCCAAAACTGAAAACGTTGCCAGCTGTTGTTGGCCACTTTAGCCCTTCCTCAAGGGCCAACACAGCAGCAGCAGGAGCAGCAGCAGCAGCAGCAGACGTATCCCTCCCCGTCAATTGATAGCCGGACTAGCCAAGCGTCGCGGACGGCCGCGTTGACAAGCTCAATTTCCAATCGCAATAAAACGCAGCACTCGAAAAAAGATAAATGTGAGAAAAATGCAGGCCTCGCTGCCTTACAGTTCCCATTGCGTCCCGCTCCCCAGCCCGCTGTCGTTTCCGTCTTGATCGCCGTTTGCCTCTTACGCTCGTTCGTCTTTATGCAACACCGTCGCTAAATCGCGTGGGCTTATCCTCCAACAGACCAGACCAGACCAGACCAAGCCGAGCAGTCAACGAAACGAAACGAGACCAGACCAGACCAGGCCAGGCCAAGCCAGGCCCAGCCAGGGAGAGGACCTGCCGACGCGTCTGCGTTTTGGTCCGCTTCAAGTGCTGAAATTTATAGTGGTAATAAAATTTTATTTGCTCCTTTAGTTGATGGCACAATAAACTCTTCTGGCATTCGGCCTGAGCACGTGCTTCGAGTTGCCAGTTTCTGTTTTTTATGCCCTCTTAACTACTTACAAGTTGTTTTTTGTTTCTCCGCGCAAACATTTTGAGCAATATTTCAAGGTCATTTGCTCAGCGTTTATTGATAGTTAAGATAAATAAATGTGTGGGCCTAAAGATGTGTTAACTTACTAGGAAATTAGCAAGGCAAATTGTTGTCATATAACTGTTTGTGCGAGCTCAAAAGGAAATGGAAAATGCTTCTAGGCGGAATCCTTTGCTGCTTGAATTTACTTTTCCCTTGAACATGATTTCTTATGGTTTATTCCTGCTCGAGAGTTGCTATAAAAGTTTCTATTAATGTTTATTCAAATATAATCACAGTTAAGTTTAAGCCTCCTGTTCATCCACATAATGTTAACATACTAATCCGTAATCAAGGTGGATCTTAATAGTAGCTCTGTTAAAGTTGGCCCAGCCAATTAGTTATTATTTAAATAAAATGCTAAACAGTAATTTAAGCAGCTGGCGCAGCCGAGCAGAACGTTTTCAATTTGGCTTAATTGAGAGACTTTCGTGTACGTCTGGCCTCCATCTTCCTGGTGTAAGTCGCACTAACTGCCTTTTGTATGTTGACCGTTACCTTGATTCATGGCTCGTCTCACTCTAATTTGCCGTCTCCCTCTAACTATATGAAGATGCCGACAACAAAAACTGTAAATACAACAAAGGCGACGCCTTCGCATGGCCGCTATGCAAAACTATGAAGAAGAAGCAGGCAATAACAACAGCGTCAGCGACGCCGACGCCGACGCCGACGCCGACACCGACACCGACGCAATCGTAAATCAAAATGGCTGCAGCTGATGGCTGAAGAATGAAATCATTCATTTTCATTCCATTCCATCATGAGACAGCGCATGCGTGTGAGTGAGTCGGTTTCGGTTTCGGCATCGTGTTGATGGCTGTGTCTGCACGTGCCTGTGTGCGTGCCACTGTGTGCCTACATGTGCGTATGCATGTGTGTGTGTATGTGTGTGTGCTGATTAACTGCATTGCCGAGCTCATGTTATTGTTGTTGCTTGTTGCCTTTGATGGATTGGCTACCATATGCGTTGCGCTGTTGTTGCTGCTGCTGCTGCTGCTGTTGTTGTTGTTGTTGTCGTCTACATCAGCTGTAGAGGGGCCTCCGTTGTCGTTGACGACTTAAACAGGTAACGGTACTGCCCATATGCCATGCGCAATCCCGTTTCTTTGTGCAAGTATGTGTGTGTGTGTGCTAAAGTGGGCTGGGCTTGAAACTATGGTTGCTGTCTTCGCTAATTGCATGAGCAACTGCACAGTGGTTAAAAGCGTTCGATAACTGCTGTTAGTTTTCTAACCAGAAAGTGTCACTTTAATATTTAACTGAAAGACTTCAATGTTTAATGTATTTTAGCTCTTCTCAGTCTAAAACAGTGTGCTCAAATATAGGCAATATAAGCTGAATTGTTTTTTTTTTTTGTTATACAATTGCGGTATATATTTTTTAGTTATTAATTTCAGCTTTTTCTCCTTCACTCGCTGTTTTAATTATAGCTTAAGTATGAATGGCCTTTATTAAATTTAAAAATGAATGGCAACTGTTTCTCCACGATGTTCCTTAAACATTGCACTCAGCACATTGTCGGCTGTCAAGCTTCGTTTATTCCTTAAAAGGGGGCGCCACATGTCTGTCAACCGAAAGCGACATCTGTCAATAAACAGTGAAGAGCTTCAATTTGTGGCCGCAAGAGGGCTCAACACAGTTTGCCTGAAAGTATGCAATAAAATTCTCCTGCTTCATTTTGTTGCCTATTGAAAGGGAATTTATGCTTGAACAAATGATATTTTCAATGGACTTAATTGAATTAAATATTATTCAAATTCGAGTTTTACTCACATGACTCGGAATAAGAATCAATTGAATTCTATTTCATGCAACTTGTAGATCAAAGAACAATTAAAGCCTCGTTGCTTTATTTTCGGTTGCAAATCTTTTATTGCAAATCAAATTTTAGCATTTGTTCGCTTGAATAAATCACATCAGACAAACATAAATCATAAAGTGAACACACACACGCACGCACACACACCCAACAGTAAGTGGCATAGTACAACAACAACAACAACAACGTCCACACAAAACACACATCAGACATTATTATCATCTCGCTTGTGCTTGACTGAATTTCTTCGCCCCTTCAACCAGTCAGGGCCAAGGCTGCCGTCTCGCTGTTGCCGTTCATCCACTTTCCTCTCCTCGCCACCTCCTTGCCTCCTTCACCTCAAGCACCACATATCTGATAACCACCTACATATCGCATACTCGCTTATGGGCATCTCTGTAGGCAATGCGAGCCACCAGTTTTGCCGGATCCGTTAGTTATTGGGTGGCTGCGCTGGCCTTTGGGCGGGGCGCAGCTTCCTTCCGGCTGGCATTGTCCTTTCGCGCCGAGCATGTCCTCCCGCTCTCCATCGGCGGCCAATGTGTAATTGAAAGGGAAGCTTTGGCAACGGCAACGGCAGCGGCAGCGGCAGCGGCGCAAGAAATTATTTCGTTAACAAAAGCGAAATAACGGAGCATGGGAGTATGACAGCAGGAGGAGGAGCAGAAGCAGCAGCAACACCAGAACACAATACAAATACAAGCGAGGAGGAATGTTAAAACGAAAGACCAGAGCAAGGAGTGGGCGACAAAAGAGGAAAGTGGGCGAGAGTAAAAATATGCAGGCAACGCTTGTCGCTGAAATATTTTAAAGTTTTACATTTTCTCTCTTCTTGCGCTTCGGCCATTTCGCAAAGTTGCAAAAGTTTCATTTCCGACAACAAGTTACCGTTAGTTAGTTTTTCGGCAGGGCTGTCACCACCATCAAGCACGAGTGGGAGTGGGAGTGGGAGCGAGAGAGAGAGGCAGAAGCATGCATATATGCATGGCATGTAACGTGTGTCTCTGTCTATCTGTCTGACATCGCCAGCCTCAATGCGGCTGACTGTGTATGTGTGTGTGTGTTTGTCTGTCTCTGTCTGTCTGCATTGTTCGAGTTTTGATTTATGAGGTCAGAGACTCGTGATAATGAGCCAGGAAATTAAATCACTTTGACCGGAAGGATGTCAGGTCAAAGGGGGATAACACAATTGATTTCATATTCATAAATTCAACGAATGTTGTCAGCCTGTCAGCCAGCCAAAACCAATGAATGATATTTCAGTTAGGAATGCCAAAAAGAAGCCCCAAGCGGCTGAAATAACCATAAGTGAGAGCGAGAAGCTGCTTAGAGCACTCTCAATAGTTTCATTAGCTGATTATTGTGGCTACTTGAACTGTAATTGAAATTTCTGATCAGCGAAATGCTGATTGGATTTTTTCTATGTAGAATATATTAAATTTTATTTAAAATTTGTTATGCATTAAAATACTTGAAATGGAATAAATTATTTTTTAATTTCAATTGCAATTTATTTCACTCTTTGTTATTATTACATGATGTTGTGAATGGTATTTTACAATGTTTGAAGAGTTTAGGCTAATACATAGCCCTTTTCTGCTAAGTTATTTATTTACATACATGACATATGGATATGCGATAACATTATTATTTGGGGAAAAACAAAGAAATAGAAAACCCCATGAAAATTTAATACAAACTAAATTAAATGAAATTAAACACTAAACTCTAAAAAAGACAAGTCTATGCCAGGTCGTTTATATGTGAATATGATGATTCCTGACACTTAGTTATACATTTTTGCGATAGTCGGGATAGTCTAATATCTACCAGTTCAGTATTGGCTCGACAATTAAAAAATGTTTTTTTTTTTTTTTTTCTAAGCATATGTTGAATGGGATTATGTATTAGCCTCTAGATCTTTTGCTCTCTCTATATCTCCCTCTCTCACTCTTTCTCGCTCTCTCTCTCTCCCTCTCTCTCTCTCTCTCTCTCCCTCTCTCTCTCTTGCTTTCCTGTATATTTTACCTTCTTGATATTCTTTCATATTTTTCTCGCTCTCTCTATCTCTTTCTCTCTCACACACTCTCTTTCTCTTGTCTTTCCTATTCATATCTCTCCTCTTTTCTACCCATTAATCCATCTCTCTCCCCCTGAAGTTCCTCTCAATTCACGCCCCTGTGCTCTACCAGTATTTGTCACTTTTTGCTCAGAGCTTCTGATCGCTTTGATCTGATTTTTAAGAACTTTTCAAAGCGTAGCATAAACAATCAATCAGAAGATTCGCCCACAGAGCGCGAAGCACATGTTGCTTCAAGCTCAGAGCACATGTCCGACCAAATTTCGAGCGGCACTTTGAATACAAACTTTGAGCGATGAACAACAAATCACGAAATCAAATGACGATGGAACTAAAACGCCAATGCATTTTCTTTGTCTAATTGCAGAGTTTCAAAATCAAAATTGAAAGTAACAACTAGAGGTTAAGGCTACTTAAGGATTTAGGCAACAGCAATTACAACACCAACGGATTTTCTACCAAATTAGGAGGAAGCGAGGAGCCAACACAGCAAACAGAGGACGCAAATCAATTAATACCTCACCCCCTTACTCAAATACACACACATACACACACACGCACTCACACACTAAGTTTAAGGCGCAATTGTACATTGTACTTAAGTGTTCAAAGGATATTTAGGTGAGTCTGTGCACGCAATATGCTGAAGGTATATTAAGGTCGACTAATTCCCTTGCAGTTTACTTTGTATATAGGAAAGTAGCTAAAAGCACACGGAGTCGAGTCACAGTCACTAGCAACTAAGTAAGCGCTATCTAGAGCAACAGTTCGAGGCAACAGTCAACAGGAGTAAGACGACAAAAATGACGATGAGTACAAATAACTGCGAGAGCATGACGTCATATTTCACAAACTCGTATATGGGGGCGGACATGCACCATGGCCACTATCCGGGCAACGGGGTCACCGATCTCGATGCACAGCAGATGCATCACTACAGCCAGAATCCAAATCAGCAGGGCAACATGCCCTACCCGCGCTTCCCGCCCTACGATCGCATGCCCTACTACAACGGCCAAGGCATGGACCAGCAGCAGCAACAGCAGCAGCAGCACCAGGGCTACTCGCGCCCCGACAGCCCCTCGAGTCAGGTGGGCGGCGTCATGCCGCAGGCCCAAACGAACGGTCAGCTGGTCCAGCAGCAGCARCAGCAACAGTCACAGCAGCAGCAAGCGCAAACACAACAGCAGCAGCAGCAGGCGCAACAGGCGCCGCTGCAGCAGCAGCATCCTCAGGTGACGCAACAGGTGACACATCCGCAGCAGCAACAGCCCGTCGTCTATGCCAGCTGCAAGCTGCAGGCGGCCGTCGGGGGCTTGGGCATGGTCCAGGAGGGAGGCTCACCGCCGCTGGTCGATCAGATGGGCGGACATCATATGAATGCGCAGATGTCGCTGCCCCACCACATGGGTCATCCGCAGGCACAGGTGAGTAGAGATCATGCTGTAGAGGTATGGTGGGTAGCTCGTATGGGTTGCTGCTTGGACAGCACTGCCTGGCATAATCTTAGCCTTAAGCTTGGCTCCTCGCTTATAACATTCTTAACGCTTCCTTTCATCTCTTTCACCTCTGCGTCCGCCTCCGCGTTCCACAGCTGGGCTACACGGATGTTGGCGTTCCCGACGTGACAGAGGTAAGCGCCAAGCAACTGACTTTATGCCCTTACTCACTTTACATTTCTTCTTGGTGCTGGTTGCATGGCATTCCTAATCCTCGATCAATACACTAATCTAGATGCATTCGCAGGTGCATCAGAACCACCACAACATGGGCATGTATGGGCAACAGCAGACAGTTGTGCCGCCGGTGGTGGCACCGCCGCAGGCGATGATGCATCCGGGCGCTGGACAGGGCCCGCCACAGATGCATCAAGGACATCCCGGACAGCATACGCCTCCATCCCAAAATCCGAGTTCGCAGTCCTCAGGGATGCCGTCTCCACTGTATCCCTGGATGCGAAGTCAGTTTGGTAAGTGTCAAGGAAAGTGATCGACAATTCCACGAAACGTATTAAGTGGAATTTTTCTTCTTCTTATAGTAGTGGGTTGCTGTAGTTAGTTATTTGAATGTAGTTTAACTAGTCATAGTAGTAGTTGAATACAATCCATCAAAAGAACCAACAACATTTACAACTATTTCATTAACAACAAATGCAAAATTATTATTTATTTTATTTTTTTTTTTTTTTCATTTTACTGCAATACAATTATAGGAAATTCTTCCTATAAAGCCCTATTATTATTAGACTAAAATGACACTGGCTGAAAATGGCAGCCCTATAGAGAATGACAGTTGCCACAACGATCTTTTCGTTCAGTCTTACACGCGTGCACTGCTTTCAGAACGTGCTATAAACCCGCTATACAAGCAGTGGCACTGCTTGGCAAAGGGTTTAACTGCACTGCTTAAGGAGCTATATTCAAATGGAAATATTGAAAGGAGTTTGAATATTTTGAAACCGTGACACTAAAATTGATCACAAAATATTTTAAATTATTGCAAAATATAACGAAAAGTTTAATTGCTATGGCAGTATATAAAACTAATTGTGCTTTATTTATTTTTATTTTTAAATTATTTTTATTTATAAAAATTAATTATAAAAGTTTCGAAATCAAACAATTTCGTTTAAATTCATAAAGAAATTATTTAATTATTAATATGAGCAACAGAATAAGATTCTTTAAAATATCAAGAATATTATTTGACATTTTAACAAATTCAAAGCTCCTTGTAGAGAACAATTCTTTTTCTATAATTAATATTTTACTTCATTTGTTTACTGCATTATGTTTGCAATTCCAAAGCTAAAGTCTTTATGTTTGTTATTCATCAAATTAATAAATAAATTCGCTACTCCTCAGATATTTCTATTTGCAATATTTATACCCAATAAACATTCATTTACTTGCAATGCTAAAATCCAAAACATTGCTCGACCTTGACACGTCCGAGTAATTTCACTTTATTGCCTTGGCCAATCGCTCGCATTAGTCGTAATCCATCTGCAATGAACGCAAATACACCGTCCCCTTACCTGACGTTTGGCCAAATTTGCGAATTTCCGACAGCGAAATCGATGAATGCACTGGCAAAAGTGAAACAAAGGCTGCGACAAATGTCACGCAGTGTGAAAGAGGTCGAAAGAGGTACAGACATGGGTCAGACTCCGGCCTCGAGTTCGACTCAGTCGTCACAGAAGGCGGTCTCCCGAATAATGCAAATTGACAATAGTTTTGAAAACGAAAGCGAAAAGGTTGCAAAATCGGAGCGTAACTAATCCGCAGACAATTTCCGTAAAAGGCTCTAGACTCGAGCATGTTAGCAGAGCAGAAAGGAGGCTGCAGGAGGCAGGACGAAGTATGCGTGCGAGTTGCATAAACAGCAGCTGGATTTGACAAAATCAAATGCTGAAATTCCCTTTTCCTTTGCTGGCGAGTGAAAGTGAAGAAGGAGAGAGAGAAAGAGGCAGAGCGAGTGTGTTTAAGTGTGCTTAAGTGTTGGTCTGCCGAAAGCACTTCCTTTTCCTCTAATACAGCCTTGTCGTTGGTCATTACTAAATCGCCGCCGAATTGTTTGTCCACATCGAGGCTCAGGCTAGCTCTGGCCCGGCTCAGGCTCTGGGCTCAGGCTCAGCGTTTTTTGCTCGCTCTTCTTTTATTTCGCTGCCTTGGCCAGATTGAGATGTAAAGCAGAATTGATGAGCGCCATTAGTTACACGTTATGTGCAATGGATGCCATCAATTTATTAATCTCCAGAACACGCTGTGGCTCCACGYTCCACGCTCCACGTTTCATGCGCCTTGCTCCATGCTGCCCCATGAATGGGTCCGACCTGGACCTGGCCATAGCCAAACACTTCGTCGTCTTAATCCAGCCGCTGCTCCCTCATCTCCCACCCCACCGCCTGCCCTCGCTTCCACAGTGGCGTGCAAAAAAATACGAGAAATAAGAAAAAATTGTGCGCCTACAAAAAAAAAAAAAAAAGGCAACCAGCCCGCTGCGGTGACATGAAGTTTTCTGCTTCTTTCTATATATATTTTTTTTTTTTTTTTTTTTGCTTTGATATTAAAAAATGAAACAGAGACAACGCCAAGCAGCGACTCGAACCTGAGACCCAACAAAAAGTGTCTCCCGCGGAGGGTGCGGCCCATGGGCCGACTTAGACCTGGACTCCAAGTCGAACTTAAAGCCAAAGTCGAAGTTGGAGTCGCGGCACTCTGACTGTGGCACAACATGATCTCGAGCTTAAGTTACGATGATTAAATGCATACGAGTTTCTTTTGCTTAGCTCTGGCCTGCGACTTCTTTTTCTTATTGTGCAACCGACAAAAATAGTTGGGACAGTGGGTAGACAAAATAAAAAAATGACTTAGTTCGATTACGGCTAGTGACAATAATTGAGAATTTAATTTATTTAAAGCAAGTGAGAATACAAAGTGAAAAACTATCTCTCTATCAAATTTACAAAATAAATATAACAAATTAATTTAGACTTTTTCTTTACTATTAAATTTCGACTTCAATGTTAACCAAGTTCGTAGCTCAAAATCTACAATAGTTCAGCTTAAGTCTATGCTTAGTCTTCAGCTCTGTTTAATAATACCATATGCGACTCACCCAAAGTTTTGGCCCACTCCACTGTAGCTGGTCGGCAACTACTTAACGCCTCGTCATATTTCACGCGGGCATTAGGCAAATAACTAAAGAGTGCCGATCGTGACTGGCGTCCTAGAAGCGCTCGCCATTCACAGCGCGGCCTCTGTAGGGGCGAATGCATTGTCGCTGCAACAAAGCGCGATTTCAATTAAGTTGTAACTCATGAACTCGAAGAGGAGCAGACAGCCAGAAAGGGCGCAGTCAGCAGCGAGAGCAGCCCCAATCCCAGCCCCAGACCGATTCCAAGTTCAAGTCCAAGTGCAGCAGCTCTCACTCTCCCCTCTCTCTCTCTCTCTCTCTCTCTCTCTCTTTCACTCTCTCTATAGAGCTTGCATTTAGCCGTTTGCCTTGTGGTGGCTGTGTTAATGTTGTTTTGATGCTGTATTGGAGAGTTGGCAAAAGTTTTAAGTTGGTTTTTGATAATTCGCTCATAAGCAGCAAAAACTTGCGGCCTTTGGCTGCCATTTGCCCCCATCCGCTGCTCTTGCTTTAGCTGACTCTGCTGCCTTTGTCGCTCCGCGTTGGGTCATAAATTTCAGCGACAGTCAACAAATATTTGCAACAAGTGGCTCTTGGTACAGGTCTAGCCAAATGGCAAAGCCTGCCGGCGCATCCTTCAGCACACACACACAGCATACATATATATGAATATGTATTTAGATATGTATATATATATAAAGTGTGGAGCGAAAGAATTTTATTTTCTGACCTTGCTGCGATGCTTATACACATAAAAGTGTGTGAATATTCAGAGTTTCAGGTTTTTATGGCTAGAGACTGCATTGGAGGAAAGGACTTGAATGCAACGAATTTAATAAATGGCTTCTTAATTGGAAGTCAGTTTGAAACTGTGCGCACTGTTTATGATTATGCATACAATTTATTGTATGTAAGAAATTTAAATTTAAATACCCCTCAGACTATGTAGTTAGATAGATGATTAGTTCAGATATTAAAAAAGTCATAAATCGTTAAATGAATTTTCTATTCGAGTCAATTGCCATTAAACTAATTAACACTGCGTTAAATTCCAACTATATATTATTTATATAATATTTCAATTTTAGTTTGACACAATTAATAATTCAGAATATTACGAAATTTCGTTTAGTAGCTCTCTGGTGATTTCTAGTGATTAAAAAATAATTAAACAGATACCGGGCTGAACCTTAGTTTGAGCAAAAGTTATTATAAGTAACATATATATTATAGATAAATGTTATTCCTAAATATTATCGTAAATAGCTGAGCTCAAGCAATTTTTATATCGATCTTGAATGTCATCAAATATAGATTAGGTAGAGCACACTCTGTATAAGCGGAGACTCTCTTGGTCTCTCCTCGACTTATCCATTTATTGTATATGCTTTTAATCCAATTGGTAAACGAAGTGCTTCTATAGCTCATCTATATGCTGGCTCGTTGAGCGCGTTCGGGTGGCAAACAACTTTTCAATTCTTTCGAGTATGAAAAGTGCACTTCATTGTGCGCATTATGTGCGACAGCTCCCAATCTCGCATTATAGCCCTGCTACAGCCCCTGCTCCAGCGCCAGCCCCTGCTTCAGCTCCAGCTCCAGCTCTAGCCACAGTTTTGGTTCCATGTCAGTGTCAGAGGGCGCAGCACAATGAAAAGAACTTCTCGCCAAAAAGTTGCACATTGGATGTCACCCCTTGTCTTGGCCCCGCGCTGTCCGCCGTGCTGTCTGTGTAGTCTGTTGCGAAAGTTTTTTACGGCTCCATGACTGCTACGTAAAACGTTGATCCCCGGCCATCATCCGCTGGCAGGGCAGAGGCCCCGCTCCGCTCTCCGCCCTCTCGAGAGCCAGCAACACTTGGCGCTGGCTTTGCAAACTTTGGCCGCTCTCCTTCGCAACGACTTTGTTGTCTGTTCTCTGTTCCCGCTGCACTTAATGTGCCCGAGTCGGGTCGAGTCCTGGCCGGAACTGGCGCTGGCGCTGGAGTTTTGCTAAGTTGAGGATTTGCGCGCAAACTACTTTTCGATGGCAGCGCGAGACATTTGAGACAACAACTACTTAGGCAGGCGATTGCCCTGGCTTACGGCGCTGTCCACTGGCTGTGTGTTGACGCATTTGCTGCCAATCCACGAGTAGCTGCCACCTTCCGGCGCGCAATTGAGGCGTGCGGATCAAAAGATAATTTGCCAAATGCGTGAAGATTTTTTTAAAAATATAAACCGTAACCACAGTCACAGCCGCAGCCACCACCAGCTCAACCACTGGCAGCTGACACGGCCTGTCAAAATGTAAGCGACAACGACAACTGAGCCAAAAGAAAAAAAAAAAAAACAAAAAAAAAAAAAA